ATTTATAACATAGGGAAAAATGTGTTACAATCGTCTGACTCAGTTTATTGCTTGATTAATTTATGCAAATAGTCAGAGGCCTACCGTATTGAACAATACATTTTCAGTAATTAGAATGATTTTGATTAAAAGACTATAACAATAATAAGTAATGCTGATGATAATGACGATACTGCTACTGTCTTTGGGGAAGCCGCCTGGTGCCATTATCATAATTTTTCATCAAAGTCCTTCTCCGGGCCCCTACTATTTTAAATTCCTGGATCCGCCACTGACTGCTGTAGTTACCACAATTACAATAACAACACCACAATTATATTGAAATATAAAGTTAAAAATATCATGATAACCAGTGGCGGCACTGCAGAGGGGCTAAGTGGGAGTAGAGTTCCCCGTCGGGAAGGCATGAGGTCTGGTTCCACTCCCAATCCCAGTTGGGGACGTAGAGAGTTTCGCCGGAGTAAAAATAAAGAACATTTTAAGAAGTTTATGTAAAATGTAAATGAATTTAATATAGCCCTATCACAGTAAAATAATTAATAAAATCATTCTCAACGGTCATGAACATCATTCTTTATACCGTACTGTATCCCAGCAGAGGACCCACATCCACTCACATTCGAAATTTTTTTTTGGAATTAGTAGACTGCTGGACGATCTTAGGTGGCCGCCCTGAAAAAAAATTAGGCATCAAATAGAAAGAGTACACGAAGAGCACACACGCAAGACGAGTGACCATAAATTTTTTTCCCACAGTAAACGAAGGGGGTGGGTAGCCACCCTATTAATCCCCTCCCCCCTCACCACCACCCTCCAGATCCGCCACTGATTAACAGACCAGTGCTGGAAAGCACATCTGAGCATCTAGAAAAACAAATAATAATCAGTCCACAAAAAAAGAGACAGGAGACAAATAAACCAGGACATTACCTGCCACAACATTTAGTCTGCTTTATCAAGGCCTTCGCCCTGCACCCCCGAATACAGAACCTTTCTGTATCCACTCGCCCCAGCAATGACTACTGGGTTAGTTTATCCAGGGTTGTCCACCACCCACCTACAATAACTTAACCTGACGTTGAAATACTGTAGAGGGCAGCAACCATAAAAGTGGTCGATCATATTTTTTTTTGTACAAGGTTTATGTCGAAAGTAAATTTACCTTCGCGAAAATGGTATCGCCCAGGCTATTCTTTTGCAATAACGATTTTGCAATGTCTGGCTGCTTTTTGCAAAGCGTGGCTGACCTCGCCTCGCTGCCGGTCTGCAGCAGGATGCAATTGGGCCACGACGGTGTCGTTCGTGTACCGATCGCAGTGTAGGTCTTGATAGTGTGAGAGTAGCTAAGACGACTCCCCGTTTCACTTTCGGAATTCATAATTTTGCTAATTGTTATGGTCATGACACTGCATTATAGTCCAGCAGTTTAGGCAAATCATTTGGCTCAATCTGCACTTTTTGATAAAAGCATAAAACTTGGCAATACAATTATAAACCATAGCGAATATTTTCAGGTAGGGACTCATGTTAACTGTGCCATTTTTTTCAGAAATGGTAAATTTTAGCCTTATTCAAAATAATATTGTACTATACATCAATCTTCATTTATATATTTGATAGTAGTTACTTAATAATAATGCTTAAACTTATAAGTATTAGTGACATATTGCATAGGTCTATAAACGTAAAAAATTATCTATTTTAGCCATATTTATGTAGGAAAAATATGAACTACAAATTCTGTACTTTTATAAATAAGGTTAATGATAATTATGCTTAAAGGTAATAATTACAAATACATTCAGTCTTTTAATCTAATTATAGCGCCAACAAGATGAACCTTTGCAGAATTTTATTGGCTGTTTTCTGTTTTCAGAATGAGTTGTAAAAAAATAAAATTTATTTATTTTTCAAATAATTTTATTCTATTTTTAATTAACTTGTAAATGGTAAAGAATTTATTACGTAAACTATTTTACTATAACCCATACCTGAATACCTGTAGCAAAAGTAACAGCAAACTTAACTAATATAATGTAAATTAATGTAGAGAATACGCATTACTGCCATACAGTAAAAAATATTGTACATGCCTATTAACCACTGCAAATGTTAAAAAAAAATGTACCAACATTGTAACAAATATACAGTACTGGTTTCTGATACTGACCTATATAAATCCACAATTTATTTTGGCATGTCTGTTGTATCTTAGTGCTGCTTTTCTAACAGTAGATCCCCTATTAAGTGACACGCTCGGGACAAAAAAAAAAATGTTTCCCTTAATAATAGTGTCCCCTGATTAATGCTACCGCTATTTTGGAACACAATAACCAAAACGGTAACATTTCCTATTATTAGGAGTTTTTGATATGCTTTCGTACAATGGTGATATAATTAGATTATAACAATAATTTGCAATGCATAAATGTATAAGACAACAAAATCTGTATGTTTCAATATTTGTTTAAGGTTGTGCTATATAGATAGATAGGTAATCAAACGTGAAAATACAATAAACAAGAAATCGCATTGTTAATGGTTAAAATTATAAGATTGATATTTAAAAGAAGTACAGTAACGCATGTACCATTAGTAAAGCATAGTACATAATTATATTAGTAACTGTACTTCATTAATATTTTTATGTCCGTTCTAGTTAAAGCATTCCAGTTTGATACGTTTATTGTTGAAAATGTGTTAAACTATAAATTTTAATGTGTTTTTTTTTTCTTATTTTAAGAATACTGTAGTTATATAGGAGTTAAAAATGTATTGATTTGACAATTAGCCACATTCGGAAAGTGTCCCCGTCTCCTCAGTAAGGGTGTCCTCTCAATAGGCTTGGCAGTAGTTTTAACAAATATATTTCTTCTCGTTCTCAGTAATAGAGGTGTCCCTATAGATGGGTTTTATTGTAGTAATATAATACCAACAACTGTACCCATTTGAGGCTCAGCTGTTTCACCGGGAAAAAGAATAATGTAGTGCAAAGTATAATATCTGAGACAAGTACGGTACTATTACAGTAGCACTACGCTCATAAATACTGTATAGCCTACATAATATCCATGTATACTTACTGTTAGAAGTAAAATGCATCGCATTATGGTGTTAATTATAAAAGGTTATAATTATGGAAAATGAAGTTATTTTCGCAGAAGTAGTAAGTCTCAAGTTATACTAATACTAATAGTAGAACATAAGGTCAAAAATTGTCACTTTTGTTAACAAGGTTGAATCTTTATATTGGCAAGTACTTGTTACAGTTTGATAGATTTTATAACAGTTGTTGCTGTTACAAAACAACAGAATAGCTTTTCACTATATGTGTATTGTAAAAATCTCTCTTAGTATTGATTCTGACACCTGTATTACATTCATTTTTAATGGACTATAGCAAAATGATCTACCTAACAAATTATATAGCATTCAAAAATTAAATAAAATTAGAATACGATTATCAATGTTTTACCACATCAGACTGAGTTTTATAAAAAAACATGTTGCATATTGAAACTGCCAATATAATACTGAAATATTCACCACGTGAGGACTCAAAATTTTGATTTTTTTTTTTTTTGTTTATGAAAAAGACAAACTATTTCTCATTAATACTTTTAAGCATATTCCTATCTACCATTATTTTTATATAATATATAGAATTTGAAAGACAATTGTAAGAAATTTACCGTTTTGGACCGATAGAGGGCGCTATTGACATGAATCACAACCTGAATATAATATTTTGCTCTAGTTAATGGGCCTAGTTCATGTTTGCCAAGTTTCATGCTTTATCACAAAGTGCACGATTTTTTTTACATAACTGCTTGACTATTAGGCTGGCTAAAAAAGGAGCAAAATGTAAGGCTAATCTAATTAATAATTACACGCTGACTGCGATTCATAAGATTAGTAGTTAACTTAAGAAAAATGAATGGAATATTTTTTTTTTCTTTTTGCATACGAGTTGTTTGTGAGAAAGGCAGTCGAAGGCTTTGGAGAAATCAGTAAAAATAACGTCACATTGGAGTTGATGAAGAAAACTGTACGTGTATCGTTACCTATGCTGCAGTCTTTTCCAGTCCATGCTTCGTGACATCCATTGTCGCAGCTCCCATCGCGATTACAATCTGCCGAGTCTTTACAATGACATGGATAGTTGCACAACACACCAAAAACACCAGACTCACAAGCTAGATTAGGCATTAGTTCTAAAAGAAATTTAAGCATCATTATTATCTTCAAATGTTGAGTCTAAGAGTAAAGTTAGGTCTACATTAACTTTTAAACTATTACCATTTTAGTGTTCACATTATAGGCCTATCCTATTTTAAAATTTCCTATTCGATTGTCTTCCTGTCCTACGTGTAATAGCGTCCACATAAAACATATCAAAGTATGGAAGACTGGGATTTATTGGATTCAAAATCGAAAATTTACACATACTTACCAAATTAATCATGTGAATGATAGATAGAATGTCATAAATTCTGTTGTTAATTCTATTTAGCATATAATGTTATTGAACTCCCCAATATTTAAACATCATAATGTAGCTTGGCTTAAATTTAATCAAGTACTATTTATTTTATGTAGCCTTACATTACCTTTGTAGAGACTTACAGATTGAGCACTAAATAGAAATACTACAATTATTATTAAAATACAGTAGGCTAATTCAATTTTCTATTGAACTTTTGTTTTCCGAAACAAGATATAATTACAATATGTAATTACATTTGTAACTTACGAACAGTCGTATTTCTAAATAGGATTATATGACTGTGCTGTTTTTTTTTTAATAGTTTGCTATTTTTTATACGAAATAATTACAAATGAAACTACTAATACTCATAACATTTGACAAACAAAACTTGAATATACCTTGACAAGCTGGTCCCATGTAACCGGCCGAACACCCGGATGAACAATCCCCTGTTTTTCTATTACATACTCCTAAATTGCAGTGACATACTTGGCGACAGTCTGCACCATAGTGATTGCTATCACATGCTGAAAACAAATAACAGAACAGAAAAAAAAAATTGGTAGTCGTTTAGAGCGTATTTCAATTGTCTTGAAAAGACATGTGACGAGTGACAATGTTACATTTATCGTTTCAATTCAATTATGCACAGTAAATCCTAATTTGGGTTACTTGTTGGTGTACTGGACAATTTTTCATTTTTTTTCTTACATAATAAACACTGTAATGAACACCAGAAACATCAAAGTTATAAACGGAAACAGCTATAACTATCCAAACCTGTATTGCAATTGTTTCCTCCATATCCGTCGATGCACGCGCAACCAGCAGGATCAGGCGGACAAAATAGTTGACCACTACAAGCTTCATCACGACCACTACTAGATACCATATTGCAATTACGTCCCCAGTCGTTTGACCCACAACCTAAAGAATAAAGTAAAAACAGGAAGCATAACTCGTACAAAGAGATATATTTTGACTTAGATTAACAAAAAATTGTAATAATATATTTATTTCATTATTTAAGGATAATAATATATTCTGAAACAAATCCTTAAAAAAAATAATAAAATTAATAAATGAACTCATGCGCTCCAGATCATATATTACGTGTGTATAATCAAATACATCAGGAATATCCTACGCCTACCTGTTTCGCAGTTATCTCCTTTGAAGCCAGCAGGGCAAATACAAACACCATTCTTGTCGTCACAAACTCCACCGTTATAACACACAGGACAGTCCATTTCACATTCAGGGGGACTCCATTTTTTAAATGGACAATCTAAGTAAATAAATAAAAACGAAAACCTAAAATAATATTTAGAAAATGAATCACGGGGAGGGTAAGAGCGCCAGCTCCTGTCGGGGCTAAGGCCTCCTCCCCCGTCGGGGAGAAAAAGCCCAATTCGTCTGGGAGAAATAAAGTGTATTTTCTACATAGGCCTATTATTAGATTCTAAAATCTTTTAAATACAAGCTTTTGAAACCCCTAAATTGTCGCCCGATCACGCCCAATATTTTGTCGTCGGGGACATTGCGCCATTTACCTTCGAGGGCGTCTGACCCCCCGTCTGGCAAATCCTGGTGCCACCTAAATACAATCTGTGAGCACACTCACCAATGAAAGACTAGGCAAAGAATCAGACAATTATTCGTTGGTGATGCGTACAAATTAATAGTAAACGTTCGTATTACGCCATAAGCACGCGAGACAAACAGATGAAACCACTCGTACTGTCAGTCCAATGACGGTTCACTTTAACAACTGTCATTAAAGGAGCCACGTTTCTATTTAAACCACTTCCTATTCTAGTGAGCTAATTGTTCAAAAAAAGGTTCATATATTTAAACAAAATATTTAAAAAATCATTG